TAGACATATTATATGTTAAGGCAGCAAAAATGAATGATATATATATAAATTAAATATTAAAAATATGTATTGTATATACATCACCATTTAAAAGTTTTTTTTTCCATGTTATTAAATGAACTATTCTGTTCATCAATGCACCATTTGTTAAATGGAAAAAAAGTTAAACTGTTAAATATTTATTTAATAAATATTAATTTATGACTTATTGTGTGTATTTTCACACTAAATTATTAGTCCAGTCATTATTGCTTTTATTACTATTACCATTAATAATAATATTAATAAAAATAATAATAATAATTACAATAATAATTACAATAATAATAATTAATAATTAATAATAGAGCGATTTCTGAAGCATCATGTGACTCTCAAGACTGGAGTAATCAAGCTGAAAATTCATCATTAAAATCACTGAAATAAATTATTAAATTAAAGTATAAACTTCTTTTTTACAAACCTTTTTGTTTTTTAATAATTTTTTTATATATATCTACTGCAATAACATTTCACATTTTGTACTGTATTTTTGATACATTTTGATACTATAAATGCAGCCTTGGTGAGCAGGATAAGCTTATTTTAAAACATTTAAGAATCATACTGACCCCAAATTTTAACCGGTAGTGTATATATATATATATATATATATATATATATATATAGATTGAGTGATTTTTAGTCCAAAAACAAATATGATAATAATAATTCAACTTATACTTTGAAAATATTTAGATTTTTTTTACAGTGTAGTTTTTTTTTATTATTATCAGGGGGGAAATGATCATGTAATGAAAGTCAATGGGGTCATATTAATGTTATTTTGGACCCCATTTACTTTTATTGTATTACACAAACATTCTCAGAGTTATGCAGAAGAAGATGTTTAATAAATTAAGGGCATCATTCTGACTCTCAAAAAAAATTGGGTCGATAAATCCTAATGAAAATTTTAATAGACAGTATAATGTCACATTTCTAATATATAATAAAAAATATTATCTAAAATCACAACATAAACATTAACAGAAACAATAACGTCTGCCTGCTTTCAAAATAGATACAAGATCTTTAAGAAATAAGCATGTCTATTTTCTTCCTAGAACTAGTGTTTCAAATGAACCTCAACTAAGCACAGTGGTATCAGGTTGCTTTTATCAGTGTCACGTTTATAACAAACTCCTCTATGGCCTCCTCTTGCATTGACAACGAAGGATGCCAAGTGCACAGTTAATTTGAACGCACGTGGCTAATCCTATCAAGGAGAGCTCCAGTGACTCACGGCGATGAAGAAAAAACAAATTGTTTATATGCTTCATTTTCAATCCATCAGCACCGATCGTGAGAGAGAAATATAGAATCATATTTATGATTTGTAAGAAAGTGCTACAATGAATCTGTGATTTTAACAAACCTTTAAACATGCATCCCCCCATACACACACACACACACACAACCCCCCCCCCCCTGCCCCCCCTCAACTCTTTCATCCTAATCAGCATCTGTCTCTCTGTTTTTTGAAGTTATTATCGCCTCAGCTCCCTCTTGGATGTGGTTGCTGGGTGACGGGTATCTTAGCACCCACTCTGACTGGGAATGATTTGAATTCGATCCAAAGATTTCCCATGAGTACCTGTAAACACATCCGTGCCTTGTCGAAAACAAATATATCAGAAGAGCACTGCAAAGAGAGCGAGGGGGAAAAAAAAAAGAGCGATAAAATCTGCCACTGTGTGTTAAGACGCACCCCTGAGTGCTAAACAAAATAATGACGCTCCTTGGTAAATATCCCAGTTGTTGTACACAAACGAAAATATTTTGTCAAATGTGATGCACTTGTGACTGAATTTAAATAAATAAAAATAAATGAATGAATGAATAAATGAATAAATAAATAAATAAATAATAATAATAATAATAATAATAATTATTATTATTATTATTATTATTATTATTATTATTTAAAATTGGATAATAAAGTAATAATATTAATAATAATTATTATTATTATTGTTATTATTATTGTTATTATTATTATTATTATTATTAATATTACTAATTAATTAAATAATTTTATTATTAAGTAATAATAATAAAAATAATAATAAAAAAATCAAAACACAATCCTCATTTTGATTGAGTATATTGTTTTAATATGCAGGTGCATTTAGAGTGCATTTAACCTTGCATTGTTGACAACGGCTGTCAATTAAGCGCCAGGGCCGTACGCAGCCTGACAAACCCTCCGACATAACAGCTGCCTCAGCACTCACCTCCAGCCTGACCGCCGTGGTGTTTCAATAACCTTTCCTTAAGAGTTCAAATGTCACCAGGCGGCAAGAACTGCACCGTCCCACATGGACGAAATGGAAAGGAAAACAAGTAGCTGAAGTATTGCTTCTCACAAGGCAGACTCATAACTCCTATGAAAGCAGAGAGATTACAGCCCTGTATCTGTTCGGCGGCAGAAGGTGCGCATTAATCTGGGCCGAGGGTCCCTGGGAGAATGAGGTGTGGGGGGGGAGAGCCGGAGGAACACGTCCTCATGCGGAAGGGGGAACGAGGCGAGTCTGACTCCGCTTCACGGGGAATTCTTTTAACATGAGCAGACAAAGATGTAAAGACGCTGTTATCCCATAGCAAAGAGGATTATTACCACTTCTTCAGCACTCTGGAAGTCGGGCTGCGCACTGGAAAAGTGAGCTTGCTAGTGCTTATACCCTTTTTTTTTCATTGACCTTACAACAGTAAAAAGATTGGAAAGAAACTCAAATGTGAGCCCCTACACAATCAAACTCATATCATACAAATTCAACATTTAAGAAACTGCACCCATGCAAGAGTTATGACTTGGCGTGCTGACCTTCCCCATACAGAGAACCGAAACAGATGTAGATGCACTAAATCCACACTGTAAATAAGAGCCGGCGTGTTTGTGTTCCATCCGAGCAGATACCTTTGTCCATACAAATGATGTAATCCTCCAAATGGGAAGCAGACATGGAGGAGGTGATTGATTTCAGCATAACACCGGCAGTACCAGGTGCTTTCAGAGACAATTACAGGCCTCTCTATGCAGCAGTAATAGGCCAGCACTTTAGCGTCATTAAAGCAATGTGTAGCACTGCATTATCCTTTAACCCCATCACTGACCACTCTCTTTCCCAGCCCCGGAGTTCAAACCACACACTCCATCACCTCAGGACCCTGCCTGGGACGGGCCGCACGAGTAAACGCAAGCACAGGCCCAGAAGGAGCTCCCACAGACAGCTCGGGAGAGATTGAGAGCAGACTCCTCCATTAGCACCACACCAAACGTGACACATACAGATAGAGGGAAATTTTTAGACCAAATGATAGATAAGTTGCTGTATTTAAAATGTTAAAATATATTCCTTTAAAATATCATGAAAGTCACTCAATGTTTTCTGTAGCTGCGAATCTGATGGCATTAAATAAATTATCTATCTATCTATCTATCTATCTATCTATCTATCTATCTGAATAATCAAAAAAATTTTATTAGCAAATCTATTATTCCACACTATCTATATATATATATATATATATATATATATATATATATATATATATATATATATATATACAATTTCAATAAAATGCCACTTTTATATATTTATATAAAATATTTAATTTTATAATATATAATGTATATATATATATATATATATATATATATATATATATATATATATATATATATATATGTATACATTATATATTATAAAATTAAATATGTTGTGTAATTTCTCACTTGCTGACTAATCTGCGATATATATTTTGTTTACAAATTATAAAATATTTCACACCACTTGTGATTTAATTTTCAGATTTTATAGCATTAAAGTTCCTCATTAAAAAAAAAAAAAAAGAATGTGAAATTATACAACACTCAGGCTCGGGTTGCTGCATGCAAGGTGTTTTATGTTTTCCTTTCAGATGAGCTGTCAACACCTTGACATTTTTAAATTAGCTTACTTTTTCTAGTAATTATTGGGCCCATTCACTTGATCACTAAAGGGTGACATTAAAGTTTCAGGGCGAATTATTCACCGTTGTTACAAGCAGTAATTGTTTCCTGTGTGATTTTGTACCTTCAAGCACTGTATCACTCCTGCCATTAAGTATACAAGCACTTATTGACTATGATTTGATTTTTCCCCAGAGGAAGAAAAGAGCTGAAAGAAATGCCTGCCTATAAATACAACTAATACATGCGAGAGAACATTTATTATAATAATTCTGACAAGCATGCTTATTTAAAGTGCACAGATAATAGAAAGGCAGATGATATTTTCCTCACATGCTTAATAGGAGCTCACTATTGCCTGCAACATGCAGATTACTTTTTTTAATGGTTGGTAGCAAATAATTAAAGAACAAGAAAAAAAGATCTCATGCGTTATATATAAACTTGTGCATTATTTCTATAAAACATGTTTAAGCCAACTGTCATTTATGAAATATTAATTTTAAACAGTTGAAGAAAAAAAAAGAGCACTGCATTTTGCATGCACTACAACAATTCAGTAAAAGTGGTATTATTTATTAATAGATATATTTAACTTTATACCTTTGCGAAATGTAATTTTATAATATTAAAAAATTTGATGCAAATATTTATATTATTGTTTAAAATAATAAAAAATACGCCTTTCTTTAATAATGTGTGCACTTATCAAAACATTTCAAATGAGGTTCTTTAAAGTTACTGAAGTAACTTTGGGAGTAAAGTTAACACATGCAAAGTTTAAAAAGCTTTACTTGTACTAATAATTTTTTTGACCTATAATTGTAGCCTATTCTTTTTTTTTTTTTTTTAAGTGCAAAGACAATTTTGAAAGTATTTCCTTCACGTATAAGACTCAAACAATTAGCATGAAGTACATAAGTTTAGAATTCATTTCTAACGAAATTTCTCATCCAACTTAGCTATCGATTGCCTGTTGTGGAAAGGTAAAAGAGTTTGTTCTAACCTGGCATTGGTGCAGTCGTTGTAGAGGGTCTCGAAGTCTTTTCTGGAGATGAGTTTGCAGCGGTTGACCCCGGGCTGGATGGCCCCCAGCCCGCGCAGGATGCGGACCTGCTCCACGTTACACACCACCGGCGTGATCTCCAGCCGCTTGAGTTTGGTGTAGACGGTGTGCAGACCCCCGACCAGGTGTTTGAGAAACAAGTCAAATGCCTGGGGCAGGCAGATGAGCTCCTGTCCGTCCACTGTGAACGAGGCCACCTTTGCGCCCCTCAGCTCCACCATCCGACACTCATTATTTTGCGGAGTGTTTTCAACTGGAGACGGGGTCGAGTACACGGGCTTGCCGGCCAGTGGGATGCTACTGGTGCAGTTGGTGCTGATCAGATCCGCGCGGAACAGATTCTGGGTCGCTGACTGAGAAGGAGACGCAGAAGTGGCCGAGGGCGAGGATGATGATGCTGCGGTCGCGGAGCATGATGATGATGATGCTGATGATGCTGACGAAGAAGTTGAGATCGGACACGGATGGACCAGAGCCGATGGGGGAATCAGAGCAGCCGGTACGGCCATGGTGTGTTCTGTCTGCCTGTCCGCCTATCAAGTAAGTTCAGATGGGAAAGAGAGCCAGTCTGCAAAAGTAGCGCAAAGAAGAAGAAATCCACCCGAGTGCGCTCCGCCGACGCGCCAATGGACGTGGAGAGGTGCCGTGCTGAAATTAGGACTCTGAGAAAGATTGGGAGAGAATGACAGGAAGAAAATGAGCAGAAAAGTGTGCCTGTGCTCTGTGGATGAGTTGTTGTTGTCACAAGGTACAGAGAGGGAGGAGCCACTATCAGCGCTTTGAAACGGAGACATGCACAATCTAATGCGACCCTAGTGGAACAGCGGACGCCGGAACATTTCCAGCGTTTACTTACACAGGCTTTGCGAGCTCGGATGAGAAAACGGCGTGCGCTTCATCCAGGAATGCGCTCTCAAACTCTTTATACGCCGAGCTCTTCTCCTTCGTGTTGTTCGCTGTTTTAAAGTACACTAAGTTTGAGTGAGAGAAAAAGGTAAAACTTTATAATTACTTTAAATAACGGCGTCGACTTGAGTGGAAAATGTGGCTATATAAACACATGCTTGTTATTGATATTAATGAAAGATATTACCACTATGACAGCTGACAAAAGTGCACTTAACAAAACCACAATGAGAAGAGACCGCGGGTTGAGTTGTAACCCAGTCGGTTTAACCAATTAGAAAAGAGCTGCAGGGGTGAAATTACTTCAAACGTGAGAGCACCACCCTCCTGAGGTGACCGTAAAAGTTATAAAAGGATTTGCAGGACTGTAAGAAAAGGTAGGTAAAGAAAAGTTTCGCATCTGGCTTATGATTTGATCTGCAGTCAGTTTATTTTAAGTTATAGAACTGCTATCGTCTGAATCAGCAGGGTCTCTTGTTTAATTTGACGGCGACGACAAAAGCTTTTCATTTGCTTGCTTAACAAAAAATTGGAAGTATTACAAGAAGGACTGTAACACTTCTCAAGTACGGTTTCTGAACGTACTAAGATGGATGGAATTGGATGGAATAATGTGTGTGCCACAAGGCACAAAAGTGACAAACACACAGATACAGATGTTTTAGTGAAGTAACATGTGCGTTTGCAATTTGAATTACGTTTTAAATGCTTTTTTATTTAATTTTTTTTTTTTACATTTTCTTAATTGTAAAATCAGATTTATTAGCCCCCCTTTGATCTTTTCTTTCTTTATTAAATGTTTCCCAAATTATCTTTAATAGAGCAGGGACATTTTCACAGTATGTCTGATATTTTTTTTCTTTTGGAGAAAGTCTTATTTGTTTTATTTTGGCTAGAATAAAAGCAGTTTTAATAAAACAAAAAAAAAAAAACATTTTGGGTTCATAATTATTAGCCCCTTTAAGCTGTATACTTTTTGATAGTCGACAGAACAAAGCATCATTATACAATAACTTGCCTAATTACCCTAACCTGCCTAGTTAACCTACCTAACCTAGTTAAGCCTTTAAATTCACTTTAAGCTGTATAGAAGTGTCTTGAAAAATATCTAGTAAAATATTATTTACTGTCATTATGCCAAAGATAAAATAAATCAGTTATTAGAAATGAGTTATTAAAACTATTATGTTTAGAAATGTGTTAAAAAAATCTTCTCTGCATTAAACAGAAATTAGGAAAAAAATAAACAGGGGGGCTAATAATTCAGGGGGTTTAATAATTCTGAATTTAACTTTATCTCTGCTAATTTATCATTCACACCAAGTTCAAGATGATTCCAAAATGGCCAACATGCATTCCTTACAGTAAAAATTTATTATTAACACAGAACTTTCACCTGCCTGGTTGTAAATACACCAAAGACCTAAATTTATGAATAAATAAGATCTTTCAAGGTAAGAATGTACAGCTAAAGAGGCATTGATATATCTAATTATGTATAAATAAAAATGCATACATTTTTCAGTGATGGGTTGCAGCTGGAAGGGCATCCGGTGTGTAAAACATATGCTGGAATCAGTTGGCGGTGTATTCCGCTGTGGCAACCCCTGATAAATAAAGGGGCTAAGAGGAAAAGAAAATGAATGAATAAAAAAGTAAACAGCCAATCAAAATCCACAAGAAATTAAAGTGGTTACTAGTTTAAAAGGACACATGACAAAACTGCTCCATGTGTTTATAATAACAGAATGACATTGTATTCTGTGTGGATCTTCATTGGATATTTATACAAAGTTATTATTCTTGGTATAAACATGCTTTAATATCTTACTGTTAATGCTTGTGTCTCAGTTTGCACTTCAGATATGCATTCTTCAAAGACCAGATTGAAACAAACAGAACTCAATTAAAACAAAGTGGAAAGAACCCTATCTCTCCCAGTTAACTTCTAAGTCAAAGTCTGATCTGATCTGCTTTAAGATAAGCAGAATGCCATTTCAGAATTGTCATTCAGACACAGAGGTAGCATGTAGTGTAAAAATCAATATCCGCTTAAAATTCATAGCCACAAAGTTGCCCTTTATGTTGCTAACCTTTGCTTAAATATGCATCATATTAAGATTTCATTAAAAACAATGAATGTCATGATAGTTTGCCAACAATTTTTCATGTTAGCATGGGGTTAACTGCAAATGATGGCCATAAAATTCCACACAAAGAACTGCTTGCAGACATTCGTTTAGAGAAGAATGATGATAAGACAAAAAGGCATCCACAAACGCCACAGGACTTCTGTGATGTCTCCGATTCAGAATCTCTTAACAAGCTGGGTGGGCCTGATGAATCAAACTCCCATTAGAACAACAGTCTTTCAATAGGCAAACAGCAGGATGCGCAATGCAGAGAAACGCATGCATTCTAAACTTGAATGTTCAATTAGTTTTATTGGTTAAATTAACAACGTCTGTGAACGTTATGTATTGGGTAAATGCATGCATCGCGGTTAGAATTCCTCAGTCTTACTCTTTAGAAGAAGCCGTGTTCATTCTGCTTTGCATCATTATTCAGTTGGAGGAAAATACATGATAACACAGTTCACCCGAGAGAAGTTCAAGCCAACAATAATCAAGAGGTTACGTATAACAACGAACAGCTTGAAACGGCTGAGAACAAAATGTTAAACTGGTTTAATTAAGTCCTCTTGGAGGTCAAGAATTTTGAAATGGATGGCCACTTCAAACTGACAGTCTCTCACACACACACACAAACATATAGATATACCTTCATACCTAAAATCTAAAAATATTTCATATAATTTTAGTTCCCATAATACATTATCATTAACTTTCAATAATTTTAGCATAGATATAGTATGCCATAAAGTTTGTTAACATGCACTATATACTAAATTGGCTGTAGTGTATGAAAGTGTGTGTGTGTGTGTGTGTGTGTGTGTGTATGTGTGTGTATGGGTGTTTCCCTGTACTGGGTTGTGGCTGGAAGGGTATCTGCTTTGTCAAACATATGCTGGAATAGTTGGCGGATCATTCCGCTGTGGTGACCTCTTATAAATAAGGGACTAAACCGAAGGAAAATTTATGAATTAATGAAATTTATTATTATTTACTTTAACTGTAAGTACCAAAATCTTTTCCAGTTTTTAATCAACTAATAAATGGAGTGGAAGAATTATGACGTCACCTTGTGGATCCCTTGATAAAATCCCTTGAGCATTTTCCCATAGGCTTTTCGAATATTGCAAATAATAAGCTCTGTGTTCAAACACAGTTCATTACACTTACACGTTTTGTCCAACCGGATAATCTTCATACGAAAATTTAACTTATATCACTTTTGGATCTTTAATGTAAATGCAAGAACTGAAAAGCTAACATTAGGCTATAAATGAACCTTAAGTGTTTTCGCGGCGCTCGCTTGTTACGTCAGCACCACCCTACAAAAGACAACTTTTCAAGCTAATTTTTAGAAATATGATTCATGACAAAGATTTACTCTCTTGGTTTATTATATTATAACTTTTAAATAAAGTCTGAGGGGTGTAATTATTGCAGTTATGATGACGAGTTATGTCAGAGTTAAATGTGTTCAGCTAAAAAAACGATGAAAAAGTCAATTGATGATGTTTAATTGACAGTTAATATTTATATAATTTTATACATTTTTTCACACATTTGCATTACTGAGAGCAGGACAGAGACAGACTGCACCTGTATCTTCATAAAATCGTTTTATTTAAATAAATGATCAACAAATTAAACTGTCATGAAGGTCTGTCCAAGTGAAGGCATTATCGATATACAATATGAATTCCCAATTAGAAAAATACTACGAACTATAAAATACTATTCATGAAAATACTTAAATAACAAACAAATCCAAATGTCCAACACAAGTGAGCTGCGTTACAGACGGTTCAGCCAGAGATAATTACCTTAAATGTCGCCTTCCCTTTTGTTGTCTATTGGAAGGAATGTGCCAATAAAGCCACCATTTTAGTACAGGGTAGCACTCCATTGAAATGAATGTGGGACCAAGGTGCAGTCGAGGAATATCCACTTAGAGCCAGAGATATACGCATTTATACAACAGTCTGTCTGGTTCTCAAATTTGATTGGCTGATAGCTGTGCGATATTCTGTAATATCAGAACTTCTGCAGCCTCTTAACCCTTTGTGTATTACTCTGCCCACATACAACCAGCAAAAATCAGACACTACAGATCTAAAGTTTAAAAGATGCACTCTCACTGCTACACTCGTAGCAGTGCGATATTTCTGTATATCGGCACTGGTGGGGGCACTAAGGCAACGCACGCCTCCCACCAGTGCCGATATACAGCCATATTGCACTGCTACTCGTGTGATATTGCTCATATATCTATGATCTGGATTTTTCTCAGTGGTCAGTATGCAACTATTTTTTTCAATTACGAAAATTAGAATTTGACATCACTTTTCTACATTGATGGATAAGTGACCGTACGGGCATTGCCGACAAAGAGCATGTGTTTGTGTACATGGAAATGTATCATCTGTTACATTTGATCTATCCGTGTCCTGAAACACACCCCCTCTCCTGCTTTCACTTCTGACTCTAACAAAGAGAGCGATTCGTTTGTAAATGAATCTCCATTATCAATGAACTCAGCTGACATTAATAAAAGTTTCTAGCACTGCAAAGTCTTGTTGTCATATTTCATTTACATTGTTTGCTTATTTTATTTAACAAAACTACATAAGCCTAGAATTTAGTGCAAGTTGGTGCTACTTTGTCTTAAGGTGAACGCAGTAGGTGACTGTATTATCATCAATAACGTTACTTGTTGAGCACAAAAGTTAATAACATACAGAATCATAAAAAACAAACTCTTATGAAATATTCTGCCTTTATGCTTTGTTTTTTTCTTTTGCACGTTACTACGCCTGTACACAGCGCTAAAGTCCAGCATCTTTACATTTGGCACACTTGACTAGTGAGGTTGAATGACTTTTGACCTGGAAGCACTGTACAAATGTACCTACGCTATTGACGCATGCTCAGGGTACGTATGCGATATCTAGTGTATATATCTATGCGGTTCAGACCGATGACTATAATGTCTCCGACACCGTCCTATTTAGTCTCATTAAGCAACTTGATAGCAACCATCTTGTCAAAGAAGCAAAACTGATTTAAAATCAAGAGTGTGATGTAACTGTTGTGTTTTACGTCATAGAATAAAACATGAAGGTATCTTAAGTTTGTGTTAGCCACAAACCTTATTTAAGCGATTTAACTGAAATTCCATTGAAAAAACCCACTATCTTTAGGACGAGGGAACCGAAACTGCTAAAATGATAACTCGATTGCAGGTTTTTGCATACAAATTGACATCTGAGTTCTTCCACTCTATGAAACAACAATGGCAAAAATAGATAAATAAATAAATAAATAAAATGTATATAAATAAAATTACAGAACACCAATGTATTTGCAACATGCCCATTTAGACTTTTAGTGCTTGAAATGATCTATCCAGAAAGCAAATGGATAACATAAATGCTACTCATAAATGCAACCACAAATTAAAACAATCTGACTGTTTGATCGCAATGGATAAAATGCTCAATTATCTTCTGAAGGAGCATAGGGAGTTCTTTGTTTCTCACTCTTTTTTTGGAAAATGACATTTAAATGGTTTCTAAATAGTGCTTGAAGTTAGTCAACGAGATTTATGTGTTTCTTCCATGTGTTTATATGATATCAGAGGCCCGCGATGACTGCTGGGGGATGACATGACACCGCTAATGAGGAAAGGCCCATCACAAGACCACACGCATAAAGGTTTGATGGCGTTACAGCACTGATGAATAACTCCTTCCATTTTGTTTATGGTATTTGTTACAGGAAGAACACACAGCAAACATCAGACATGCATGAACCATCAAACAAGCTGATGACAATACGACTGCTTTCTGTTCTTAATGCTCAGTTAAAAGCAAACGGAGAGGCAGCCGGCAATAAAGCGGGTGCACAGAGTTTCCCTCCATCTATTAAGCTCACATGTCAGTGTTTAAAAGTAGAACTACGATATGACTCGCGCATGATCAATGGCACTGTATATTGTTTGATATAATAATTTATTCAGCCTATAAGGCTTTGATAAAACAATGTTGAAAAGCAATTTAAATTAAATTCATTTAAATGTCAATTCTCATGGTTAGGATTTTTCTATAATTGGCTATTTAATTAAAATAATTTTCACAGTCATTAATACAGCTCGCAACTTGTAGTGCACTGACATGTTTTAATTACATGGTATTAACAAAATTGATATGCTTTAGAAAGCATGGTGAATAAGAAATAATTACACCAATCATACATCATCCCCCTTATGGACATTAAGAGTATTTCAACATAATTGATGAACTTTGAAAAGGGAGCTAAATAACTTTAATTGCATTAAATGGGCATACCTGCTTCAGATGGAAATAGACGTTGCATTGCAGCATGCTGGCGGACTGCACTAAATGCAAACCTCCGTCTGATGAATAAATGAATAAACATGGCTTGCGTGCAGTAAATATTTGGGTACATCTGCGAGTGTTGTACGTCTGTCTTCTGACTCACGTTCATTACTCACATTGTTCCGCTTTCAGGGGAGGATGGAGCTTAAAATGCTGCTCAGACAAACAGAGTGCAGAGTGAGACAAATACTTATTGATTTGGAATATTTGTCTCCTCAAGGTCGCATGCCATTGACCCCATCCATCCGGAGACACCCCTGCCACATACAAACACACACACCATGGTGGAGGGCAGATGACAGAATGGCCACAGATTGAGCCTCAGCTCACTGAGATCCAGCCCTCAACGTCACCCTTTCTATAGGTCAATGTCAGAGACGGAGTTGAAGATATTCTACATTCATAAACCTGTAAAACAATAAAATAAAAATATTAGGATTGCCAAAATATTAAAGCAATCACAAACAATGATTTATTAGTGTGGTATTTATTAACCTTTGATCACTTTTTGAATGAAAAATAAAACTGTTGATTTGTATTTGAGTATTTGTTTAATATTAAATGTGGCTTTACATTGTTTAGCATGTTAACTAATATAGTTATCTATTGTTAAATAAAAATCACCAGCATGCTATTACGTCATATTTTAAGACAAAACTTGTAAAATATTTTTATGTCAACCTTGATTCCAAGAGCAAGGGAGAGCTGAGGTATAAACCATACAAGGAGAATGCAGGAGAAATAATCAGAATCAGAAATGAAACCCTTCATAACCACAACAATAATTGAAACCCAGGGCATTAAATAGAAAGATAATGAGTAACTAAATCAGACACAGGTGTGCAACATAATCAGCAATCATTGCAACCAATGAAAACAAAACATACAGTGCATCTGGAAAGTATGCATAGCGCTTCACTTTTTCCACATTTCATTATGTTACAGCCTTATTCCAAAATGGTTTAAATTCATTTATATCCTTATAATTCAACACACAATACCCCATAATGACAATGTGAATTTTTTTTATTATTGCAAGTTAATTAAAAAAATAAAAAAACTGAAAAATCACATGAACATAAGTATTCACAATGTGCTATTGGTTTTCACAATCCACCAATCAGGTCTGTATGGTAGAGTGGCCAGACAGAAGCCTCTCCCCACCTGAAATTTGCCAAAAGGCATTTGAAGGACTCTCAGATTATAAGAAGCTAAATTCTCTGGTCTGATGAGACTAAAATTGAACTCTTCGGAGTGAATGCCAGGCATTACGTTTGGAAAAACCTGGCAGTGCTCATCACTAGGCTAATACCATCTCTACAGTAAATCATGGTGGTGGCAGTATCAGGCTCGGGGGATGTTTTTCAGCAGCAAAAATTGGAAGCTTAATAGTGCTCTTGACGTCAGACTGGTACGACGGTTAATTTTCCTGCAGGACAATGACCCAAAGCACTCTGTCAAAATATCAATGGAGTGGCTTCACAACACCTTGGTGAATGTCTTTAAGTGGCCCAGCCAGAGCCCAGACCTAAATCCTATTGAACATCTCTGGAGAGATCTGAAAATGCCTGAACAACGTCCCTTCTCATCCAACCTGACAGAGCATGAGAGGTACTGGAAAGAGGAATGGAATATCCCCAAAGACAGGTGTGCCAAGCTTATGGCATCATATTTAAACAGACTTGAGGCTGTAATTGCTGCCAAAAGTGCATCAATAAAAGTATTGAGCAAAGGCTGTGAATACTTGTGTACATGTAATTTTTCAGATTTTTTTTAAAATAAGTTTGCAACAATTTAAAAAAATATATATATATTTTTTACATTGTCATTATGGGGTATTGTTTTTAGAATTAAGGAAATAAATGAATTTAATCCATTTTGGAATAAGGCTGTAACTGTAAGGCTGTGTTATGTGGAAAAAGTGAAGCGCTATAAATACTTTCCGGATGCACTGTACTTGGTTTACATGACTGTTTTCAATTGAAAACTGAAAATGTTTATGCACTGTAGATGTTCATTTACATGACAGCATTATTTTGAGGGCAAAAAAAAAAACTCGATTCAGTTTTTTTCTTTACTGTATTTAAAATAAATACTACTGTAATTGTGTAAATTACACAAACAAGATATTATGAAAATATAATTATGCTTATTAAGTAACCAAAACAACAATAGTGGGAAGCAGGGCCTGATGTGTGTATTCTGTGATTACAAACGCTGCCATCTAATGACTTAACATGCATAATAGACAGTAGGGCTGCATAATTTTGAAAAAAATCTGATATTGTGATATTTTATTTTTCTTCTTTCTCATTTCTAATCCAAATATCAAAAAAAAAAATTCTTGGAGCAAGTAAAAATATTGTTTTATTTTCAACTTTTCAGCAAGAAATGTCAAAATTTGAGTTAAAACAAGCTAAATTTTCTGCCACTGGGGTAAGTAAAGTAATCGTGTTTTCGCTTTGAAATGTAGATTGCACTAGAAACAAGACAAAATTCTAAGAAAGATTTTTTTCATGAATCATATAAATTCCATATATATATATATATATATATATATATATATATATATATATATATATATATATATATATATATATATATATATATATATATATATATATTCATACTAGTCATTAAATACAATTCTATTGCTTCTGGTCAACAATAATTCTGAATGAACATTGCATATCCTGCAATGTGACTATTGGGCATGTGAAATATCGATGATGAAACAATATTTTGTATGATAATAATTACGATAATAATTGATTATAATAACTATTATGATTTAATAATTTTTACAGAAACATTTTGATATAGTGTAAGATAAAAAAAAAGTTTTCCATTTTCAGTATGCCAATGATGTGTAACCATTTTATACAAATGACAATGAGTAACTAAATCAGATACACGAGTGGAACATTATCAGTAACCGTAACAACAAATAAGAGCATTATGTATTTAAAGAAAACAGGAACTAAACAATGGAATGAACTGGGGCTGCACAATTAATCAGAGGCGACTGTGTGTGCATTTTGTAAATAAAGCTAGTTCTGTAATTAGCTGTAAATATTTAGCATGTGCATTCAGACAGGACAGAGTCAAATTCACAGACAAACTACGCAAAATTGCGTTCATTATCGAAGACTATTTAAATTCTAAATCCTTCTGTGAAATAATTCTGTAGTGATGATTAGTCAAGTTAATAAAAGCAGTAAAAATGTATGTTTATTTAGCAAGCACTTTGGGGATTTCCTGACTGGGTCTGTCATGGGAGTTACTTTTTACAAGAGACGGCCCTCTGGCTTTCAGATTGGATTTACTACTGATCACAGAACTGTGCTTCTCTGACAAGATGTGCATGACAAACTCTTTTAATTAATCGTGATGGAAATTTCATAATAGATCTAGATTTATCATGCAGCCCTAAAATTAAATTAAGATTCCCTGAATATAAAAACAGGTCAAACTTAACTAAATAATCCTTTGTTATGAGTAGCAAAACTGTTCAACATTAATATTGCTTTGTTTTTCTTCAGCAACAAACCAGATTGAAGTAATGACTGCTAAAAATGTTGGTTGCCATTAAGAATAAACCACATAATTTAAATGTTCTATATAAACACTTGTTTTTTTTGTTTTTTTTACAATATTTACTTGCTTTTGATGGAGTATTTGAATAAATAAGTAAGTCAATCCTTTTTTCCCATTTGTTCCTTTAAAGAAAAGCACATTTCGACTTACAGGTACACAAAAGACAGGGTTAATACACAGAGACTCCCAATTAGAGCCCCCTCATTTAGTAGACGTCTGAAGGCAAACTTTATGACAGGCAGTTGGGGACTGTCATTAAATTAGATGTTGAGAGAATGATAGCACAGTTTCTTTGCTTAATGAGAATGGAGTTTCTCCCCAGACTGGAATTTTTCTGAGTTCACTGCCTTCGGAATGTTCCACAAAGTGAAACTACGGCTCTCTTTGTTGTGTTCACATTACAGATGAGATCAGAGAGTAAACAGAGACCAAATGTGCTCTAATAAAACGACAGATCTTCTAGCCGGCTCATTTCCATAAAGCGGTTCCTGCACAAATCAGGTATGACCTTCAGAGACATAATTAAAGCAAATATTTTTAGTCCCTGATTGGAATGTTGCATGTCAATACAAATTGTGAAGGAATCTCATAATGGAATGCAGATCCTACTGTTTACAGGACGTATAGAATCTGAGATGATAAAAGTCTGGATAGCTGCATCTTAATAAAGTTCCTAGAAGGAGTTCATATGAATACCGATATGAAATAGCAATGTCAAAGCGAATGGTTTTAATGCATGTAATTAGTTAAAACAAACTGAATTATATTGTTGTGTAGTCATTTAACAAACACAATGCATTAAATTATACATAACTTCAATTCATCAGTATAAGAACCATAAATAGACATTGCATTAATTAAATGAATGACGAATATTAAACAAAAATGTATAATAGTGTTTTTGTTTTGTGGAATTTTTCTAAGTTTTTTTTTCAGATTCAAGTAAAAGAAACTGGTAACAATCCCTAATATGCAGTTTGTGGGCAGCAGGCCATCTGCAAAGATTTGCACATGCGCATCTATAAAGTCCAGGCCATGGTTGTCAACTAAAATTAAAACCACCAAACTAGACAAAGTAATTGTTAAAATAAAAATTAATAACAGAATAAAAACTTATTGATTTTAGCAGATTGAAACGTATGTTTGTCATTTTCATTTAACTTAAACTAAATTAATAATGCTATAACATACATAATACACACACACACACACACACACACACACACACACACACACACACACACACACACACACACACACACACACACACACACAGGCCACTTTATTAGGGACTCCTTACTAGTACAGGGTGAGATGATTCGTGCTTTATGATATGGTGTGTAATCCTACTTGAAGCAGCCTGTGCGAATTGTAGCCTCAGCTCTCTGTTCTTAGCTTACAGGAGTGGCACCCAGTGTGGTCTTCTGCTGCTGTAGTCCATCCGCCTCAATGTGTTGTGTGTTCAGAGATGCTCTTCTGCATACCTCGGTTGTAACAAGTTGGTATTTGAGTTACAGTTGCCTTTCTATCAGCTCAAACCAGTCTGGTCATTCTCCTCTGACATCAACAAGGCATTTGCACGCACATAACTGCAGCTCGCTGGATAATTTCTCTTTTTCGGACTATTCTCTGTAAACAATAGAGATGATTGTGCGTGAAAATCCTAGTAGATCAGCAGTTTCTGAAATACTCAGACCAACTAGTATGGCACCATCAACCATGCCACGTTTAAAGTCACTTAAATCACCTTAAATTGGATGATTAGAAATGTGCTTTAACGAGCATTTGTTATATACATGTACTGTATATATACATACATTCATTTTTTTTGGGCTTAGTCGCTTTATTAATATGGGGTTGCCACAGTGGAATGAACCGCCAACTTATCCAGCATATGTTTTACACAGCGGATGCCCTTCCAGCTGCAACCCATCTCTGGGAAATATCCATACACCTATCACACTCTCACTACAAACTATTTTAGCTTACTCATTTCACCTGTACCACTTGTCTTTGGACTGTGGAGGAAACAGGAGCACCCAGAGGAAAACCACAAACACGGGGAAAACAGGCTCCACACAGAAGTGCCAACTGACCCAGCCGAGGCTCGAACCAGCGACCTTCTTGCTGTAAGGTGACAGCACTACCTACTACGCCACCGCATCACCCTATATCTATAATCACCCTATATCTATAATTATATATATATATATATATATAAATAAATGGTAAAATATTTTTAATGAAATATTTCTTCTTTTATTCAGAAGTGACAAATTGATAAAATGTTACAGTAAAAACACAAACTGCTAAAAAAAACAATTCCATTTCAAATAAGCACTGTTCTTTGGAACTTTCCATTCATCAGAGAATCACCATTTCCTGACCAACGTTTAGTTTCCTAGCACAAAGCTGCAACACAGCAGTTCATTATATGCATTATAGAGATATGCTGCCATGAAATAATTATCAGATGTCAAGCTGTTCTGATGCTCAGATGCATTTGTGCGGTTGTAATGATGATGATAATGCCATCTCTCTCTCTCTCTCTCTCTCTCTCTTTCTCTCTATGCATCCTGTCTGCAAATATATCTGCAAATCTCAGGATTCTCTTGGAAAGATGCCAGCCAAGTGTCTTGTGAGCTGAGCTGGCAAAACGTCCAACCGTATGTAAAATACTGGCCCTCCGGTGATACCAGTCTTTTAAAGAGAGCTAATTTCATTTTTTTCTTTTTTCAAAAGAAGCTGCTTGATAGCTGCACAATTACTCTGAGTTGCCCTGTGCCCTGTTTAAAGGCGCACAGACTTTTATATCAGACGAGAGATTTGTGGATATCTAAATTGGAAGGTAAACCTGTATAAACAGTAGTAATTACCGTGCCATTCACAGGGCCTGTTGTGCTCGTTCGGCAACAGCCACAGTGATTAAAATGAATCTCCATCGACTTCTCCATTAAATTGCTGGCAGTGGCGATCCTTTGACCTTTCCCATTGATTGAACATAACAATCACAATTCAATTGTAATGCAAAGAGAACATTTGTTATAATGTACATGAGATGCATGAGCCATTTCCTAGAGGGTTGTGGTAATCAATGAAGTGACTTCAAAAGGAACCTGCACAAAGACTCATTCTGGTAGGAATCCGCGGTACATATCGAACCCGGTCTGTCGCATCACTCAATACATTTGCATCCTATAAAAGAAATATATTGTGCTTCCAAAAGCCTCACTGTTGTTCCGTTCTCGTTACAATAGTACAATAGTGATGGGTTTGATCCAGTGCTCTTTCTTCTGCATTTTCTTCTGGGCATTTGTCAGATGGCAAATGTTGATTTACTTCAAGCAAAATCGAAAAACAAAGTGGTGTGATGTCATTTTGGACCAAATCAGCCTATTCGAAACACTTACAGAAATGTTTGCTTTGGCTGGTAAACTTTGAACTATAGTAATCGCCAGTGATGATAATGTAATAGTAAGGTGTGTTCAATTTCTAAAACAGCTTAACACTGAAGAGCTGGTTAATAGTAGACGTTGATGTGTAGACATGCATTTTATGTTTAGCTCTTTCCCTGTCCACATTTTTAAATTAAATTAAATTTATTTAATTAAACTTGTTGTTTACTTTCCGGTTTATTGCCAGTATGCACCAAAACAAAAATGTCATGGCCTCAGCAACATTTTGTTGTACAGTATGAACAGAGCCTTTGCTTGATTAATTAATAAGTAAATTTAATAATCATGTATTAATAGATATATAGAACATAGTTAATTTATTTGGTCAAACTTTACAATAAGGTTTCATTAGTTAATGTTAGGTGATGTATTACTAACTATATACAATATACTAACATTAACTAATAATGAACAATACTTGTACATAATTTATTAATCATTGTAATGTAAAGTGATGCTAATAACAGGGGTGCGGATCCAAACACAGGTTAATTGAGAATGGTCAGACAAGCAATGGTCACAATTAATGTAAAAATGTATGAAGGCAAATCCAATCGTAGTCAAAAACACAGGTGATTTAGGCTCACATGGAACCTGTGCGTGCTGAATTTTGCAGATTTCTGCAGATTTTTAGCCCATCATGAATTCTGTTGATTTACTTGTGTAAATGTATGTAAATGTATATTTATTCAGTTTTTTAAATTAATTTCACTAATATTATTGACCAATATAAAAATATTCATATGATTTATTTACAATACAGTAATATATTCTGTCTTTTAGTAGATATATTAAATGAGAGACTTGTTTTATTTACCAAATAAAGTGGATCTAATTAGATTTGCATTATAAACATTCAATAAAAGTTTAAAAGGTATTGTTTTTTATTTCATACATTAGGTTTTAAGTTATGATACTCCCAAAATCATTATGCTTGAATCCGCAGATTTTTAACACAATTCTGCGTAGAAATAGCAAAAAATGTCTGCTGATTCTGTCTGGCCCTGTGAGTCAATACAGGCAGGAAGCAATCAACCTAAACAAACAAACAAGGCGAGGTTCAAAAACACAGCAAAGTAAGGCAAGGAGAACACGTCTTAATGTCACAAAACTGTAAAACAAGACTCAGCAACAGCTGTGTGTGTGTGTCTGTGCTTCGTTTAAGGTCTATGTAATCAGTTCTGAACAGCTGCAGCTGTGCGTGTTAGCAATCAGTGGAAAATTGGAACAGGTGTGAGTGTGTGGTGCATCACTGATTCTTGTAGTCCATATACTGATTTGTAGTTCTATGCGATCTGTGAGTTTACCAGCAATCTGTAAGGATTAGATCAATGGTGATTGTGACAAACATAGTTCAACATTTTACTAATGTGTTATCAAAATCTGAATTCATATTCATACTTAACACTAGTTAAAGGTCCCATGAAGTGCTTTGAAATGTGCATTTTTATTTAATTTTTGACGTAATCTCGAACAGTGTAGCCCCTCCCCTTTTTAAAAAACAGCCAATAGGGTTTTGTTTTATCACCTCTCTGTCAGTGAGAGTGGTTGAGCTCAAGTGCATCAACTGAAAAGCAAATGAGAAGCATCTTGAAGAGGGCGGGGCATGTCAGATACTAAAGAGCATTTGATTGGTTATGGTGTGATGAGAAACTGAAGTATGGGTTGACGTGAAAAAAACCGTTGATCTACTTAAGTGGAAGTGACTTTACATGTTGATATTAGTTTTCTATCTTCTAAATGCAAATTGTGTCACTGTTTTAAGGCACACTAGCTTATGGATATCTTAAAAACTAACAATATTAATACTAACATCTAAAAATACTTTTAAAAAAAACCAGGGTGCGAATCATACATGAACTTAGACGATCAACTTTTTTTGGTAATGTTAGTATTGTAATACATGCTTCAGTGAATCAAACATATGTATTTATTTAAATTATATTTAAATTTATTAATAAAACATTTTGAATTTTCAGTGTTTTGAGGGATATTTAGTGTATTCTGATCTACAGTAATCTCCAAATTATTATTTCAGAGGTTGCT